TTTAGGAATATGTTTTTACTTAATATGATCATTTATTAAAGTTAATAATTTATTTGTTAAATATATCATTATTTAAAAATATTTCATTAAAACATGCAAATATCAAAGTTATTAATTATATAACCAAATACAAAAAAATAGCTCTTAGATTTGACCAAATTGTGGTAAATCAGACCTTATTCAGAATATATTGAATACAATTAAAATAGCAGTGTTTTTGATAATTGAGCGTTAAATTTTGAAATATTTGTTATTTTTATCTACAATAAAACATTTTTTAACATGATAATATATTTCTTTATATGTATACAATGAATTTTATAAATATGTACCGGATTCCAGATATAATGTTATCAATTTTGTAATGATTGTCGAGATTTTGATTTTACAATTTCTTACAAACGTCAATAAAAAATACGATAAAATTCAAAATATATTAATACTATTCATACGCATTGAATTAGCTTTGATAAATATGTAATGTGATACAGATTTGTATCATCTTTCTTCTATGCGTAAGGAATGTTCTTTATATATCTTCCACAATAATACGTTTACATGTCCTTCATATAATATGTTACGCTTTTTACTATAATATGTAATGATATTATCAACCTCTATAACTGGCGTCCTTCTAATAATAAAGAAAGTTACAAAAATTAATATGTACTAATTTCTATTCTGTCTATTTTTTTTTGGGTATTATAATCATAAATATTATCCGTTGTAAATTAAGTTACTCATTAACATGATATACAATTCAGTTTATTTCATTCTAAAATGGAATTTCTACTATTTTACTTGGTATGACATAATTAAATAATGTAAAGATGTAATAAAAGAACTAAAAATATGTTTTATATTTTCAACTGAACGGCTTTAGATGGGAATATCTCAAATGGCTTAATTAAACGAGAAGACACTGAAGACCGGATATTCCAAGCATTAAATTTTACGGAAATGATTATGGGACTGCGCACTTGACGGAAAAGGTTAACATTATCCAAGAAAACCACTTCATATATCAACAGTCATACTCCGAGGAAACAGCTGCAATGGTTAAAATTCCCATAATTCTAAGAAAATACACTAGATCGGGGTCTGAAGGAAGCTCCTCGTTATTTGGCTCAAGGTTTCAACAGTTTTTACTCGCGGAGTTCATTAACTGTTACCAACAATCATTAATTCATGTTAAAATATGTCTTCTGGTGCGCACACACTACTGCGAATTGATGATCTTAGTCACGCTTATTATTCACTCAAACTTGCACATTCGGCAGTAACCTTGAAAAAGTACAGGTATTATTTATTTAATTGGTAAACATGTGTACAATAGGATTTTTATATACACATAGAACATATTTTATCCTAATACAAATATATTGTTCTGGCCGTATAGATCGTTAATAAGTTGTAGAAAATGGTACCGTATTAATAAAAGAATTATATTTAAACAATAACTACCAATACAATTGAAAGTTTATCACGTATACCAGGGGTTCCCAAACTGAGCGCAACAACGCCCCGGTGCACCGTGGATGAACTACAAGGGCGCCGCGAAAATTCTGATATTTTAACATACAGTTCGCCCTGAGATACACAAATGTTTTGACTTGAGGTGCCGCGGAAAAAATATGATATATATCAGGCGCCTCAAACCAAACAAGTTTGAGAACCCCTGATGTATACCATAGAGTTTTTCCCTACTTCAGTTGGTACTTCTGACAGTTGACTTATAATTGTCAAATTTAAAAACAAAATAAACATTATATTTTAGAAAAAATTTTTTTTTTTTAGAAAACAATATTAAGATGTAGCTATTATATCAGAAATAATTTCACATTTTGTAATTCGCTTCAAGCGCTAAAACACCACGTGATGGCCGTGGTGTCACTTAAAAGCCTTGCGTGATTGAGAATACCTGTATACATTTGAATTTAAAAAAAAACTGTCAAGATCACGATATCAGGTGTGATATAAATAATCAATGTTATTGTGCTGTATATTTACAATTCAGAAAATGAGCATACTTTTTATGCTTCTTCATTTCCTCTTTCACGTTGCATTATATGTAATGTTGGATTACTGGTATATTTTTTTATAATTTTAAGTAAAAAATATAAGTTTAGTGTCTATTTAAAATGGGTATTTTCTTATCCACAATCAAATAATTATTTTGAATTCACTCTGTTGATTTATACATGATTATAAGAATATTTTAAATAACTATTTGTAAATATATTACAGAACTTTCAATATTCACCACTATTCCTAATTACCTTATTATCTAACCTTAATTAGTGATATATTTCCTTCTTTTAGATTATATCTCTTTAAGTATGACCTCCTTTTCGTCCTGCTAACTACCATTTCATTTTTGATTGAATGAATTCTCATCTCCATCGTGGTGTAAGATTGAACGAAAAACCGTACGTATGGGTTGTGGTATCAGGAAGATTAAAAACATGCTGAAAGAGCTAAAAGCAGTGTGTGCAACTCAAACTATGTAAAAAAGTAACTTGTTCCATATATATATAATAAAACATTTGAAACTGAAGATTAAAACGTTCATACTGGCGAAGCAGGCTACGGCTACAAAATCAATGAATGTGCAATTTTTTATCATGCGAAGAGCGACAATGTAAAAGCATTGATCACCAGTGCCGCCTTCATGTATGCAGTCTTCTATGTCTTGACAACTCGCAAACCCTTTGAACAAACAATCTTTTCTCATCTTAATTCCACTAAACCGAAATAGATGCTGCCATTTCCTGCTGCGCTTCTAACTCAGAAAGGCTGAGACCTTTCCCATTTTCTTTTTATGGATAAGAAGAAAAGAAAATGTTGAAATTTAAGTATCATTTTTCTAATTGTTCAGGTATGAAATTCCCTTCCCGATTCATTAGGTATTTCTACAAATTTTAATGGATCCAATCATATAATTTAACTTTAATATAAGAAAAATAATATAATATATCAAAAATACATGAAAGCAGCAAGTACTAAACAATTTCGAATATTGCATCATATTATGAAACAAATCTTATGTACTTATTATTTCTAATAAACCGCATTTTAAGAAATAATGTTTCAAAATTTATGATAGAAATATTGTTATGTAAATCGAAATTGTATTCTTCATGGTTATAATTATATTTTCTCACCCTTAAACACAACATATAAGTAATATATTGTCTTATTAAAATTCTTTAGATCAACTATTGAATAATTAGTAGCATTTTTCTATACTTACATTGCATTTTATATATTTCTTTTTCCTCATTACATATTTTTGTTTGACACATTGACGACGGCATGACCCACCGGTGGGTCATTAATTATAAATAATAGTTTTGTTGCTATGTACGCCACTGATTTTGACTGAGAATAACCTCAAATATCTTAAGTCAATTACAAACTTCAAACGCCAATACATTTCTTATACATATTTTAATAATTCTTGAAGCAATTTAGAACAATACGTGATATTATGACATAATTTAGGCATACTTTATAAATTAACTTGCGAAGCATATTTGAAATTTTCATTCAAGTAGAATTGAATGAAAATTTCAATATTTTCACAATTGTTATAAATTGCTTCAATATCATTAAAAAATGTATAAGACAAATTTAAACGTTTAAATGTTATAATTGACGTAAGATATTTGACTTTTCACTCAGTCCATAGGCGTCCACGAAAAAAATTCTGGGGGCAGACAACCCGAAAAGCGCCGTCCTTAACGTGTTAATGATTAATTCGTTCAATATATGTAGATTTCCGGTTTTCAAATGGTTATATTTCCTCCAATTAGTTTGTAATTTGTATTTCAGTGGAAGTCACGTATTTATTTTAAGTCAGAAATTACCAAACACAACTAATCTATATCGAGTTAATTATCACTTACAAACGTGCGAAACAGGTTAACCGTTCAGTCAACTCCATGTATAGAGTTGTCTCTAACGTTTCTAACCGGACTTAACACTATACAATATTTTTAATTAAATAAATTTATATTGTTCTAAAATTAATCACTTTCTACGTCATTGTGTAATCTTTTCACTTGCGAACATCTTTTTAAGTGATTTTAAAATAACTCAATATAAATATAATTTCAATTCTATAATGTTATGATTCAATAATAATAAATAATATAATGTTTATTGCATCAGTCGTACAAAAAAAGAACAAAATAAATATATATAATTTCAAAAAAGTCAACTTATACAAAGGGCTTATAACCATAGGGCTTTTTGCCTTTTATAATTCAATTATCGCAAAATTATACATTATTGTTCTTTCTCCTTATATTCCTTATAACCATTTCGGATATCCTTTTAAGCGATTTTGAAATAACATGGTTATAGAAAACAAACCTTTTTCTTACGTCTTGTTTGTTTTAATACGAATAAATAAACTATTTTATTTAATGCTAACATAAAAGTTCGATTAATTAAAGTATTAATTTAGATTTTTCACCAATATGTAATGCAAATGAGAAATGGGAAAATAACAACATATTTCCATTGTTCCAGTATACATGTTGTATATACGAAAAGAAATGATACGTAAAAACAAAATTTAAGGTACAGATATTGCCCAATCTGCAATGACGTAAATTATTTCAATTCATTGTGAAATTATTTTACTTTTCTCTAAATTATATTAATTAATGCTTTCATTCTTAAAAAAACTGGCAATTTTCTACGAAGATTCTTGTCAAGGTCGCGTTGCATCGTTATTTTGTTGTTTTTTTTTGTATGCTGTTTCATTGATGAATCGAAAAAAATGTCCAATCAAAAGTTGTGAAACCCTCGTCGGGTTAATCATTGTGGATTCCCGGAAAGATTCGTTTCCAAATCCAGAAAAATTCTCCCATGTAAATGCATATATAAATCGATCGCACAGCATTTACTTTGTTATTAGTTTTCCGAGCTGGATCTAGTGAACACCTATGAATAAACCGTACCCGAAGTACGTACTAAAGTTCCCAGCAGTTTCAGACTTCCCAGAACGTGTACGTAAATCGATCACAGTGGGCTCCGTAAAAAGTGTTGTTTAATGGCACACAGTCCATTTGTTATCATCGATGGTGGCGTTGGCGTAGTCAGGTCTCCTTTCTGCCGGAGTTGAAGAGTGCTTTTGGTGTAGTCTTCGGCAGTAAGTCGCGAAACACGCAGCCGGACGGTCGGCGTGGCGTGTGAGTGTGAGAGAGAGAAAGAGAGTGAAAGTGGCGGCAACGACGACGATGATGATGATTATGATGATCCTCTGAAGGTCCGGAATTTAATCCCAAACCCCAAAAGAGAACTCATCCCCTTCATCTCAACCAGTTCGTTATATTGTTCTTCCTCCAATCGCACGGAAGTATGTGGACCAATTCCGCCACCCCCTTTATCACATTCCTACTCGTAAGTTACTTTTTTCTAACTATTGTTTTTCTTAAAAAAAAATAAACTTATTCGATCTTTTATAATTTTATTTATACGTTACAATTATCTCGTTTTGTTTGCTTTTATATAATTGTGCCTTACACAAAACCGTATTGGCAGGCGGAAAGGAATGCAGTTTATTCTTTTTTTGGCGAGTTCAGGGGGTCAGATCAGAGTACTTTCGTGGCGCCACTTGGTCAAATAACAACAACATCTCTCTGTTCAGCAACAAATGAATATTACAAACGAATAAAGAAAAAATGTAAAAAAAAACATGAGATCGAAAACAGGAAAATTTCGCACGATTTCGAGTTTTGAAATGAATTTTATAAATGTATCTCTATATTAAATATTATAGGTGCCAAGGGCATTATTACACAGAATCTCCTGACATTTACACTCTCGATGCACAATGCGAAGAGAAAAGATACGCCGAAGACGTTGGCATATCCTCGGTAAATAGTAAATCATAGGCACCTCGAGCGCGTCGATTCGAAATTAATTTGAAACAGTCGGACGATGATGAGAGATGCAATAATAATGGAAGATGAAGGAGAAGAGAAATATAAAAAGTTCTATAGTAATGGTATTCCACTTACAACGGGAATGCGTTCGCAAATGGCTCGTTTATTATTCAAATCATGGGTGACATTAAGATCGGTCGACAGGGAGTGTATGAAAGAGAGAGAAGGATAGAAAATGGTACTTCATTAGCATTAATTAAATAACAACTTAAATACTTCCCATGCGACTTTTTTTCTGTTTATTTTTTTTATATAAACGCGGAAAAAAATGTTATTATTGATAATTAAAGAGATATATGGAACGTTCTTTTCCTATGTTACGTCCTTTAAATAATTATGTAGTTGTTTGATTATTTAAATTTCATGAATAATATATTTTCAAAGTAATTGCAAAAGATTATTCATTGACAAATCATGTTTAAGAATATTAAAGAGTAATTTAACGTAATATTTAAAAAAGTGATCATCAATTATTTTTGTGCAATTTCATAATATAATTTCGTATTGTAGATAATTCGTACAATTAGTACATTCAATATATGAAAGTCGCTCTTGTGATGAAATTTGTCCATTCTTTTTTTCTGGGTTTTCCTTAATTTTTGATCCCACGCAATTATAATACGTAATATATGTACAATACACATACAGAACTTAAAAAAATGTAATACAAACAGATTTTTTTTGGAACAAAAAATCCACTTAATTTTTGTTAGTACTTATAAACAATTACATAATAAATAATATTAATACAAACAATAATAATTTAAAAAAATAAAATATTTGCTAAATATTGATTCAAAAAAGTATTTATTATTTTTAAGAGCAATCAATCATAAATATAATTGATCATTAAAAAAGGTAACATAACACAAGTAGTTATATATAATACTTGTAATATTAATATAAAAAAATATTGAATAATCTATTATCAATTTTTCTTACTGGACGTAAAGAAAAGTTAGAAATTCCAACTATAATATTATGTAATTAACTAATTAAATTACGTGATCAAAAATATCGTTTCTTATATAGATATATTGAAAAATCCAAATTTTCCGATTACCGTTATAATGAATAATTTTTGTTCTAGAAACCTTCAGATCTTTTGTTTCTAATGTGCTTTCAAGCATTATACATTCATATGCGATATTTTATTAATCAATAATATGTTTCATATTATGCAATAAAATCATTCTAAAAAATGTTTAATTACATATTTATAAAAAAATATTACCTTTCATAAATTTAACGTATTATTACAAGAAATAAGTTATAATTAAGTTTTTTACAGAAATGAATCAAATTTTGTAAATATTAAAGGCATTCGCACCTTTCAGCTATTGCATACATTTTGCAAGAATATCCTTGCTTCTTTTATGATCTTTACCAGTTTTATTGGTGGAAACAACAATAAACTTCGACTTGCTGATTGTTCTTGTTGGCCGGAGCAGCGGAATCCTGGCTTCCTTTTATCGGTTTCGTGGCGAAACAAATAAATTACGATATTATAATTAAATTGGTCGTTAACTGTGTGGAAGGACGAACAAAATGATGCACAGCAGAGTCAAAATACTTTAAATGCTAACTAACCTGCCTCAAAAAAAAAACAATAAACCCATTCATCGGGATTTGAACATTTTGGACAAATCAATTCACACCATTTTTTTTCTTTCCTTATATATATTTTTTTCTCCTCTCTCATGTATAAATTGCAACTCATAATAAAAATTGATACATTTCCGGAAAAAGGCAAGGACATCGAGTGTGTGTGTGTTTATTACAATATTAACAACGCTCTCTTTTCTTAATTCTTTCATATTACCTTTTTTTATATTAATAACCACACCCACGATACTAAAGGCCTGATGTGATGCAACTGCTTTATTTCCATGCCGAAAACGATTACAAGTTTAAATTTTTTTGGAAAATTTTGAGATGTAATATACTATGTTCTGTATGTAACAGAACGAGAACAAGATTTTTTATTCCATACGTGATTTTTTTAAGAGTGTAATTAAAAGAGTGACATAAGAACTAAAAAAGGAGTTTAAATTGGTGATGAGTCATAATAGTTATTAAAATGAAGCAATTGCAGTGAAATTACATGACATTTAAATAAAAAATAGACTCGGATTCATCCATAACTAGTATCTCTCCAATTGGTCTATGATTTTCAAGCTTTAGTACTAATAACGTAATTCGTAGTAAACAAATATTTTTTTTACTTTTAGTTATAATATTATTATCTCTAATTTAAAACTCTAGTTAATATCATATACTTTAATAAAAAAAAATAACCAACATTTAATAATTCAAATATTTAAATACTATTTAACTAAATTATACTAAATAATGCACGAAAGGTAATTGAGATCGTAATGCTGTGGAGCATTGTAAGTTAATGGACACACGCCATACAAAGATGAAGGTTGTTGACTCCAGTAAACTTCCTACCAAAAAAAAATTATTTACTTCACTTATTTTGTGAACAACATTATAAGAACTTTGGCAATTTACATGTATGTAAAAGGAAACACGGCTAAATAGAAAACAACCATGCGACTTAATTGTTCTTTCGATTAAATAAACATGAGCACTTATGGGAAGAGGCAAGTTTTACTTTGCTATTTCTGTATTATTTTTTAATAACGTCTCAATTACCCGCATGCCACCAAATATGAGATTCGTCTGCGTAATTCGGAATACAAATGTTACGTGCATTATAAAATAGCTTCAAATCAGGTCAAATTCATCATACCATTTCGCGTTTCCATAAACGTTTAAAGATCAAGAACTCTCAAGGTCATTGAACATTTTAGAATTCAAAATATAACCAGATTTCTATTTGTTGGATATCTTATTATTTATGATATAACACTTGATGTTAAAATGATTAAAATATATTGTATTATATTTGTAACAAGAAAATTAATATTATTTGAATTATTCTGTATATACAATAAAACATTTAAAATTACACAATTTTAAAACTTAAATAATTATAGCGTTTTTAATATTGCATAATAGTATTTTTATGAATTATTATATGTGAAAAATGATCTATGAATTTATCTATATTTTTAAATCTAATAGTAAATTAACATTTATTGTATACATAAAAGAAAGAAAGTAATTTTGCCTTTTGAAAGATATACTTGGATATAATAACAGTATCAAAGAGATGTTTTTTCTTCAAATTATAAATTGTCTAATGTTACAGTACATGTTTTATCAGAATTATAAATTGATATTGAAGGTGCTTCTTCTGTGTGAATTATAATGTACTACAGTGCAGCAAAACTCATCTAGCATGTAAGATACTAGAAGTGGGTCATCTAAAAAATGTTGCAACAAATTTATCCAGTTGCACGATCTTGTTTATAATTCAGTTGTATAAGTACTCTCTTTCAATTGTCTCAGACGAAAAGTTTATACGCGAATCAAATTTTGTTCTACTATTTGTATCGCAATTGCCACACTCATTCAATTGCTCCATTTTCGTGAAAGATTTATAATTGTCGAATGTATAATAAATATTCGTAATGCCTTAGGAAACATACAACAATAATTTTTGGGTAATCATTTTTTTTCATATACTCGTTGAAAGCTTTATGATTGATATTCGTGCTCGGTTTGAATGTTCGATTTCTAAAAATACAATTGCTTTTAGCTCAACGGAATTAGATCATCAAATATTATTTAACTATATCATCATATATTTTGCAACCTAAAAAACATCTCAAAATCGATGACTCCATCAACACAATTTATTATTCTGACCAGTTTTCGAATCCAGTTATAACTGATGAACATAAATAACTTGTAATTGTGAAGAAATATTATTAAATTTGATTCTAAGTAATTCACAATAAATTGTAAATATTATAGGACGATAAATAAATACAAATAATTTAATTTAAAGAAGAATCGATTGTAGTAAACGAATTGCGTATTCACTACAAGCAGCAACTTAAGTTTTATTTCGGTTTCTTTTATATTTAATGTTTCCTTCATGAAATAGTGAAGGATTCAACTGACCATCGCATATTTTACGCTTTGTGAATATTACAGCAAATAATGTATATACAAACTAACTGAAGATTATACAAAAACAATGAAGAAATTATGCAAACACAGTGTTTTGTTTTAAATTAAATACTGGTATCGTATATTAAATAAAATATTTTATCGAAGATGGTCAAGTTTCTTTGCAACGATTAATAATATTTTTATTTTATTATATTTTTTCTAAATACGTATTCAGTTCATAACTTTTGTTAATATTGGCCATTTGAGATGAAAACTTAGAACATGAAAATTTAGGGTATTTATAATAATTGATTATTGACTTGTTTTTAATGGTATTACGTTGACTATTTTGTGGTTAAAGAAATATTGGATTTTTGATTAAATATTTCGATCATAATTATGTATTAATAAAATTGTTTAACCACA